TGGATGGATGGATGGATGGGTGGGTGGGTGGATGGATGGATGGATGGGTGGGTGGATGGATGGATGGGTGGATGGATGGATGGGTGGGTGGATGGAGGGGTAGGTGGGTGGGTGGATGGTGGATGGTTGGATGGGTGGATGGATGGGTAGTTGGACCGTTGGATGGTTGGATGGTTGCATGGGTGGGTGGACAGGTGGACAGGTGGATGGATGGAGGGGTAGGTGGGTGGGTGGATGGATGGAAATGGTAGATGACACATGGGAAAGTGGTGGGCAGTCAGGTGATGACTTATGTGCAGACCCCATGCCCGGGCCCTGTCCCCACACAGTGTGTGGCCAGGGGTGCCACCATCTCTCGGTTGCCTTTGCAGGTGCCTGCAGGCCCAGCGAGTGCTGCTTTCAGGACCTGCCCTATCCCCATGGGAACTCAGGTTTGAAGTGTGGGATGAGTGGTTCCCTGCCGGGCTCATATGTTCAGGGAGGCTGAGGCAGGAACATCACTTGGCCCAGAAGTTTGAGGCTAGCCTGGCCAGCACAGTGAGACCTATCTCAGTTTTTTAACTGAGCACCTATTATGTGCAGGCAGAGCTGCAGACACAGGGATCTGCTGTGAACCTAGCTGTCTCCCCAGGGCCATAGCAGATGGCTGATCCTGTGCTCTGCGTAGGGGGACAACTGTGGGAAACAGGATGGGGAGGGAGGAGGAGGTGCTGGGGGTGGCTTAGGGCCAAGTTCTGTCATTAAAGGAGAAACTAGGGTAAAGATCTGGGGCGCGGCTCTGTGGGGAGCACTAGCCCAGGATGGGTGAGGGCCTGGGATCCTCCCCTGCCTGGCAAGCGTCTGGGTGCCTGGGGACCTGTGGCAAGGGGGGCGGGTATGCAGCCGGGATGTCGGAGTGGGGGCCAGGGACACCAGGAGGGAGTTGGGAGCCACAGCAGGTTTAGAGTGAGGTGACCCCCAAGTGTCTTGGGGTGTCAGTGTGGGGGAGACTCTGCCCCTACTCTGTGGGGTCCCCAAACCTTAAAGAATCTCTTGGGCTGGGGATTTAGCTCAGCGGCAAAAGCGCCTGCCTGGCAAGCGCAAGGTCGTGAGTTCGATTCCTGGTACCGGAGAAAAAACCAAAAT